GGAGTGTCATCCGTTATAGAGTCTTTTCGTGCGTATTCGAGTAGAGAACTTAACAGTGGCGACGGGTTTTACAATCAACAATGCCAATTACCTTTAAACAAATAGAATCTTTGCTGGAACGTCAAGAAAAACGATATGAACAGTTCCAGGAGCGTATGTTGGAGATGTTAGCGAAACAAATGAATCTGAATAACAGAGATTTTACTGATGATTCATGTAATACGCATACAGACTCGATAATTAATTCCATTCAGGAATTTCACTTTGATGGCCTAGCTGGTGTGACTTTCGAGTCTTGGTTCAAGAAGTATGAAGATTTGTTCAAGGTAGACCTCAACAAACTGGATGACGCTGCCAAGGTCAGAATACTCTTGAGAAAGCTTGGCACGATTGAACATGAACGTTATAGTAATTTCATCCTCCCAAAGAATCCAAGAGATTTCTCTTTTGATGCAACAATCGAAACTCTGACGCAAATCTTCGCTGAACAATCATCTCTCTTTAATATTCGTTATCAATGCCTCAAAATAACGAAGTCAAGTGAGGATGATTGGGTAAAACATGCCGGCCTAATAAACCGTGAATGTGAACGATTCAAACTATCATCAATGACGGAAGACCAGTTTAAGTGCCTTGTATTTGTGTGTAGCCTACAATCTCCCGAAGATGCTGATATAAGAACCAGAATCTTAAGCAAAATTGATCAGTGTCCAAACATCTCACTACAAGAAATAACTGCAGAGTGTCAGAGATTAGTAAATTTGAAACATGATACCTCCATGGTCGAGAACAATAGCCGGCCGTCATACGTGCATGCTGTTAGTGAAAAGAAAGACTCCGGCTCACAAAAACCATACAGCACAGACAATCAGCCCTCATCTCCTTGCTGGTCATGTGGAGGTTGGCATTACAAGAAGTTTTGTCCATACAAAGAATATTTCTGCACTAAATGTCACAAAAAGGGTCACAAAGAAACCAGATGTAGAAATAAAACTCGCAGACGTTACTCTTCACAAGTCTATTCCAAGAAATACAGATCTGGTAAGAAAACGAACAAAATATTAGTATCTCATAACCAGACAAGAATTCACCGCCGAAGAAAGTATGTGACCGTGGACATGAATGCACACCGTGTCCGTCTTCAACTTGACACAGCATCTGATATCACCCTAATCAGTCCAAAAACTTGGGAGAAAATTGGGAGACCTACAGTTCACCAAACGAAGCAACTAGCGCACAGCGCATCTGGAGGTAAGCTTAATATTGTTGGGGAAATAACGTGCAATGTTTCGAAAAATGAGGCAACAACGAGTGCAACTGTTTATTTAACCAAGAACCCGGAACTCGATTTATTGGGGTTGGATCTAATAGATGCATTAAAATTAGCAGATCATCCTCTCAACAATATCTGCAGCCAAGTCAGAATCAATAACCCCTTAGAGTCAAGTCAGAGAAATGCCATTATAAAAAGGCATCATCACGTGTTTTCAGAAGGATTGGGCGAATGCACGAAAGCCGAGAAAGAAGTTCATCGCGTATTGGTCGACGCAATCGATGGACTTCCAGTAACTTTTGAAATTATCAAGAAGATTACTGAAAGTGACAAGATATTGAGCACAGTTAAATGCTATCTTACGACCAAATGGCCAAACAATCGTCTTGATGGAGAACTCTTGCAATATTTTCGTCGACGGGACTCACTAATGATTGTCGACTCGTGTATTATGTTTGGTGATCGAATTGTTATTCCGAAGTTATTACGTCACAAGGTTCTCAAGCAGTTCCACAGTGGCCACCCTGGAATCAATAAAATGAAATCGTTGGCTCGTAGTTATGCTTATTGGCCGTCAATGGACAAAGATATCGAGAATAAATGCCGTAACTGTCCATCATGCATTCAAGCTGCTAAAAATCCTTTGAAATGCGAACCTCAGTATTGGCCAACGCCTGCAGGACCCTGGGTAAGACTTCATGCAGATTTTGCTGGTCCAATCCATGGAAAAATGTTTCTAATTATCGTAGACGCATTTACTAAGTGGCCAGAAGTATATACCATGGCAAATTGTACAACGTCAGAAACAATCCACAAGTTGTCTACCTTATTTAGCTGCTTCGGAGTTCCAGAGATCGTAGTAACTGATAATGGCTCGCAATTCATTGCAGAATCGTTTAAGTATTTCTGTAACGCAAATGGAATAACTCATCTTCGTTCTCCGCCCTATCATCCACAATCGAACGGACAAGCAGAACGCTTTGTGGACACTTTTAAACGAGCACTACTGAAAGGGGGAGGCGAAGGGACAACTGGACAGGTAATCACAAAATTTCTGACAACCTACAGAACCACTCCGAACCCAAATGTTCCAGACGGTAAGTCTCCTGCCGAAGCCATGTTTGGAAGGCGTATTCGAACCGTTTTCAACGCCATGTTGCCATCGAAATTTGTGTACGGGCACAATCAAAATCCAAATATGCGGAACTTTAATGTCGGCGACGAAGTTTTCATTAAATCCTACACCGGAAAGAACCGATGGGAGCCGGGAAAAATTGTACAAAAGTTAGGAAAAGTTCTGTACAGAGTCCGAGGAACTTTTGGAACATGTATACGACATACGAATCAAATCCATAAGGACAAAAGAACGATGCAGACTCGAAATAACCGGCCAAAATTCCCGTTAGAGTCAACCTTGGACGTACCAACGATACATATGCCCAAGGACACTGAAAGGAAGCCTTGGATAAGGAAGACGACAAGAATAATGAGACACCACCGCAACCCAGTTGTCAAGCTACAAATAAATCCTAGAAAGAAATCTTATTCGGGGGAGGTGTTGGGATGACCACCGAGAAGCCACCCACGTACATAGTCGATTGACTAAGTTATCGATTAATTTATCGATCAGATGTTAAGTATTTGAATAGCAGTCAATTGATTAACTTATTGATGAATGTTTAAGAATTTTTAAATGACAATATTGATTATGTATATAATTTTGTATAAATACTCATGTTTGATTGTATATTTTGATTCTTGTCAATAAGTGCTCACAAACGTCTTTCGTCTTCTTACTTGAGAGCGATTGGAGGTTATAACGTTCGAGTGTCATCCGTTATAGAGTCTTTTCGTGCGTATTCGAGTAGAGAACTTAACAATAGTACCACATTTCATGACTACGATTAGTTTAATCAACATTGAACAAACGTTTTACTTAGTTAATTCGACGGTAAAACTCTAACCATAAGTCGAGACTGATAGTATTGAGTAATAAATACTTTTCGTTGAACTGAATGCCTTATAATGTTAACTCGAAGCTTTCTGACCTTGTAATTATAAAATTGTTAGAATGATTGAATACATGAGTCTTCGTAAACGTTTTAGTTAACCTTCCATAATTTCGCTATTATCAATGTATTGAAACAATATAAATCACGTTCATGTAATTTACCGATTTAAACAGATGAAATTGTTAGACTAAAAACTAGGACTGTCATCTCACCTCTTAAAGCTTATATTCTAATAATTCAATGATTATTAGTGCGCTAACAATGTCATTCTAAGGATTATAAAAACAAATCATTATTTCTTAACCAATTCGCCTAGATATACACGCAGACTAATGTCGCCACAAAGTGCTAATAATACTAAAACTCGCTGAAATAAATGTTACACAATTGAAAGGCGATTTCAACAAGGTATTGTAAGTTTATACAAACCTGCAATCAGATAAAACTTTTGAATAATCTTGCATTTGAATGTAACACAACGCTCTGTTTGAATAGTACGAAGAAATATTTGGTTGTTGGGTGATAGCATGTGTATAGCATTGAACTGCTTCGTTATACTGACATGAGTTGAACAGTTGATTGCCCATATCTTTCAACGATTGATGGGTAAGTGTGGATATATCAAGACCTCTTAAAATATTTGACATGGTTGCAACAGTTCCCCTATAAGTAAAAAGTAAAGTGAGATTTACAATTCCGCTTAATCAGGAATAAAAAGACGATGATTCAAGTTAATCACAGATCGTTTTACCAGAATGACGAAATTTTCAGATATGCGGATGAAGTCATCTCTCGTACTGAGATCCGAATTCTAGAATGACAAAAACGTCAAGAAACCACATCCGGCCATTGAAATACACGATATTACTCAGGCTACATAAAAATTGGACAACTGAATAGGCGCAATTAAAAAAGTTCAATACAGAGTTCCTTCGAGGTGCTAACAAGCTCAGTGAGTTCAACACAGATCACGGCATCAGCTTCTAAGCATTACAAGATCAATTAGAAGGGACGACTATAGAGAGCAACTGGAAAGGGATTATAGAAACAGCAACTTAAAATACCGCATGTCGCCACCTTATTATTATTATTTATTATTCGAACACATAGGTATTGGTACAAGGAGGCACCAAACACATATGCGCCACACAAATCTCATTTGATTTGTGTGAGGACCTTGGTTTTCCCTTCGTGTATGTTGAGGCCTACTGATGCAGAGACTGCTGCTATGCTGGCTGTCTTTATCTGCATTTGTTCGTGTGTATGTGATAGGAGGGCTAGGTCATCTGCGAAGTCCAAGTCGTCTAATTGGTTCTGAGCTGTCCATCGTATGCCGTAGTTTCTCTCAGATGTCGAGGTCTTCATAATCCAGTCGACCACCACAAGAAACAGGAAGGGAGAGAGTAGACAGCCTTGTCTTACTCCGGTCCTTACTTGGAATGCGTCTGTCAGCTGTCCTCCATGCACTACTTTGCACTGTAGTCCGTCGTATGAGTTCCGGATAATGTTGACAATCTTCTCAGGAACTCCGTAGTGTCGAAGAAGTTTCCATAACGTCCTCCTATCTACACTGTCAAATGCCTTCTCATAATCAATGAAGTTGATGTAGAGTGACGAGTTCCACTCAATTGATTGTTCGACGATGATCCGTAGTGTCGCAATCTGGTCTGTGCACGACCGGTCCTTACGGAATCCAGCTTGTTGATCTCGAAGTTGAGCGTCAACTGAGTCTTTCATCCTGTTCAGTAACACTCTGTTGAAGACTTTACCCGGTATTGACAGTAGTGTAATGCCTCTGTAGTTTTCACACTTGCTCAGATCTCCTTTCTTTGGAATCTTGATGAGGTGTCCTTCTTTCCAATCCATCGGCACTTGTTCCTCCTCCCAAATCTTCTTGAATAGAAGATGAAGCATGCTTGTAGTTACTTCGATGTCTGACTTCAACGCTTCAGCTGGTATATTGTCAGGTCCTGCTGCTTTCCCGCTCTTGATTTGTCTGATAGCCATTCTGATTTCTTCTGTCGTTGGTGGATTGACATTTATAGGACGATCTGTGTGTGCTGCTTCGATGTCCGGTGGATTCATTGGAGCCGGTCTGTTCAGGAGTTCCTCGAAGTACTCTGCCCATCTGTTGCGCTGTTGTTGAATCTCAGTGATTGGTCTTCCTTCTTTGTCTTTGACTGGTCTCTCTGGTTTACTGTATTTCCCTGCAAGCTTCTTCGTCGTATCGTAAAGCTGTCTCATATTTCCTTCTCTTGCAGCTTTTTCCGCCGTCGTTGCTAGTTCTTCCACGTATTTTTGTTTATCAGCTCTAATGCTCTTCTTCACTTTCTTGTTTGCTTCTATGTACTCTGCTTGTGCTTGGACTTTCTCTGCTCTTGTTCGACTGTTGCTAATTGCTGTCTTCTTGTTCTTTCTTTCTTTGATCCTGTCCCATGGTAGCCGGTGACCAATGATTTGTTCATACGTCATTTGTTCCCTCAGGATACTGAAGCCTATGTGCACCATTGGTTTGGAATCAGGGTTTTCCAACTCCCCTAAGTGGACTCTTCATGTCCACCGAACCGATTAAAGCGCCGGACATTCGCTCTTTGTTCTCTTAATTTCGTAAACAACACCCCCGCCACGAGAAGGCAGTGAGCAGAGCTTCTCTGGCAGAGGCTATATACGCGTGGTCATGTGAGAGCATTTCGACAGTGTGAGCGGACTCTCCCCACTCTCGGCTGTACCAGGGCGTTTGGGGGCTACCTATGGAGTACCAATCCGTTAGCCAGCACAAAGAACGGATCCCTGTAAACGCTCTGCGCACGACTGAAGAAAGGAAAAACAAGAAGACGGCAGTCAACACTGCTCGAACAAGAGCAGAGAAAAACACATGCCAAATACGCAAAAGCAAACAAAAGAATGAAGGGCATCACAGCTGAAAAGTGGAAATATGCAGATCTGGCAAATACTGTAGAAAAACTGCAAGCAAAGGGATTTCGGAAGAAACAAAATATAATCAGGAGAATAGTAGGAGAATATGGTCCACAAGAACAACTAGTCAGCTACAAAAAAGGAGAACCAATCACTAAGGATCAACAGCAGAAGAACAGGTGGGTAAACACTTTGACTAGGGTTATATTATTACAATAGGAGGGTATCTGGAACTCAAAACAACTGTCAGTCAACATCAGAGTCGGAATTTTCAGCACAAACGTCAAAACATCTCCAGATATTGGAGCTGAAACTTGCAGGACTACTACAACTGTCATCATCAAAGAAGCACAGTTATTTATAAACAGCTATCTAGGTAAGATACTTTAAATCCATTGACCAGACGCCACCAGCTATAACCTACTGTGGCAGAGAACAGACCAGATTCCAGTTGAAGAGAAAATTAGGGAAAGACGTTGGATTTGGACAGAACAAATTTTATACAAACCATCAAGCTGTATCACGAAGCGAATTCTAACCCGAAATACTAAAGGCTGAAACGAAAGAGGATGGACAAAAGAATACATAGTCCTGGGGATCGGACGCAGGCGCTATGACCTTGAGTACCACTTGGCAACAACAAGAAAGGTTAGCCCAGGATAAGGTTGCATGGAGATGACCGGTCGATGTGTGTTGTGCACTATGTAATAGACAGTCAGTCAGCTACAAAGTAGGACCAGGCACATATATGCATCAGTCCAAGTTCCTATACCTCATTAGCACAACAAGATAAACACCGGATTCGTAGAAGTAGTTAATTTAGTGGTGGTAATGTATAAAAGAAAGATTGCATATAAGAACATAGTACAGGAAGAAACATTTAGTATGTAGAAAGAAACATATGAAGCGATTTTAATCTCTTGGTTTAAGGGGAGACAAACAGTGTATACAACGACACCCTGACCGTTGTTGCTACCTTGACGTGGTGGTCCGGCTTGCCTATCGTGATAAAGCAACTGAGCTATACTGGCTGGAACAACCGTTCCTTAATGTCGTACCATGCCAGACAGGTCGGTTGAAGAGCGGTAAGACTAAAAGCAACAAAACCAAGGTCCGAAGGCGAAGTCGTACTGCTGACTGTACAGAAGTGTGACAGCAGTAAGGTGCTTCCTTCAGACAACCAGCATAACAGCGATGTTGCCTTCCTAAAAGAAGGGGTGGGGTTAGAAAAGGTCGACCCTAAAAATGCACACCTCGCCTTATCACACGGATATCCATCTCCGGAGGTAAGGTCTCAACAAGTACGAAGCTAACACAAAAACTACTCATAAAAAGGTCGTATGTGACCGACCTCAAGAAGCTGTCCCTTGGGCACTGCGGTCACGCTCTCAGGTCACTATGACCACCTCTAATCCAATTTCCTTTTCAGGCACCTCCAGAAGAACCCTTCCACAGTGTGGGCAACCGGGAAGTGATAACCGCCCTCATACCTCTAACAGCACTCAAGACCACTGTATTTATAATCAACCTCCCTCTTCAATTCCTATTATTCCTCCTACATCAACTTTCAAATCTAAACTCCCTCTTTTGGTTTCCTCCTCAATTGTCACCATAGCCAACGATTCTAGTGCGCAAAACACTGTCCCAGGTATACTGAAACCTCGCTCAAAACTACACATTGGAGCCTTCAACGTACGCACACTATGCCAAATCGGTCAGCAGGCTTCCTTGGCTAACACCTTAGAATCTCGTACGATTGATGTATGCTGTGTCTCCGAAACACGCATACAGGATCCTAGCGTGGTCATTCACTTGACCTCACCTCGGCAAAGCGGAGAGCCGACGAGATACACTCTCCGTGTATCTGGCGACCCGACGGCTAGTTCTCGTGGACTGGCAGGTGTAAGCATAGCACTAAGAATGAGGGCGGAACAAACGCTATTGGAGTGGATCCCCGTTAACAGTCGTCTATGCGCTGTTCGGCTAAACGGCTCCGTAAGAACTCGGAAGGATAGGGACACACATCGTTGCCTTTTCGTCGTTTCTGCCTACGCTCCCACTGACTGCAGTTCGGATGAAGTGAAAGATGAATTTTACAGAAAGCTGTCTGAACTTCTTCAGAAAGCTAAACGTTCAGACATAGTACTCGTAGCAGGCGACTTTAATGCCTAGGTAAGTAGCTTAAACGAAACAGAAAGACATTTAGGTGGGTATTTTAGTATTCCGGCACAGAGAACAGATAATGGTGATCGTCTGCTGCAACTGTGCTCAGACAATCGTTTATTTTTAGCAAACACAAATTTTAAGCATAAGGAGAGACATCGTCTAACATGGCGACCCCCTGCACCAAACCAACGATGGACTCAAATAGACCATATTGCCATCAGTCATCGTTGGAGAGGGTCAATAGAAGATTGTCGCTCATTCTGGAGTACCTGCTTGAACTCCGACCATGCCCTAGTACGGGCACGCATCTGCTTGCGCCTCACTGGACGCAAAAGAGCCACACAAAAAAGACTCATTGGAACCGAATTGAGCAATAAGAAAGCCAAAAGTAGGTTCCAGGAACAACTGAGGTCACACTTAGGTAGTTCTGAAAACGAGACTGACCCAAATGTTGCTTGGAAAATTATACAAGCAGCTGTGGAAACAGCAGTGACATCTACCAGTGATTTAAACCACAGGGTCACAAAGAACCAATGGATTTCGTCAAGGTCTATTGCACTGATAGATTCTCGCAAACTCATCCCATCAGGATCTGAACACGATGAAGAGCGTAAAGAAATCAGATCTAGGTTAAGCAAAAGTCTAAGGAACGATCGTGAGCAGTGGTGGGCAACGAAAGCAAAAGAGATGGAAAAGGCGGCGGCTATAGGGAACACAAGACAACCCTACAGACTAATAGAAGAAACTGGAATTATTAAGTCAAGTGTAAGTCAGACTATTTCCGAAAAAAACGACACTCTCATCTGCTCCCAGTCCAGACGCTTGGAACGATGGGCGGAACACTTTAAGGAACAGTTCAGCTGGTCTTCAGCTACTCTACAACTACCCTCTATTCCCAGACAGCGTGAATGGAACATTGAAGTAGGTCCCCCAACTCTAGCTGAAGTTCAAAAGGCTATAGTTAATCTGAAATGAGGAAGAGCAGCTGGTCCAGATGGATTGGCCTCAGAGGTCTTTAAGGATGGTGGTCTAGTTTTAGCGACTAGGTTGACTAATATTTTAGCTAAAATCTGGGAGTTAGACGTTATCCCATCTAACTGGTCACAATCACTTATCGTCCCAATATTTAAGAAGGGTCAAAATCATCCTGTGACAACCACAGAGGGATTAGTTTGACTAATATAGTATCTAAAATACTAGCCTCAATAATTTTCGGATGCCCAACTAAGACTCGTGAACTGCAAACATGTGAAAAGCAGGCTGGCTTCAGACCTGGTCGTGGCTGCATCGACCACATATTCACCATTCGTCAGGTTCTAGAACACAGGCATACTTATCGGCGTCCGACAATGGTGGTCTTCCTTGACCTAAAAGCTGCGTTTGACTCTGTTGACCGAGAGGTTCTGTGGCAGTGTCTGTCATTGAAAGGCGTACCTCAAAAGTACATAAACCTTGTGAAGGCTCTTTACTCGAACACTACTAGTCGGGTCAGAGCCTATGGCGAACTGTCATCCGCTTTTGCAACCTCAAGTGGCGTCCGCCAAGGCTGTTCACTTTCTCCATTTTTGTTTAACTTCATCATAGATCTACTGATGGAAATAACGCTCTCATTGACTGGCTTCTCAGGTATTGATCTCCTACCAGGAGGTCCACTTATCGACTTAGAATACTCAGATGACATAGTCCTGTTTGGTGAAGACGCTGATGAAATGCAGAGATTTTTGGTAGCACTGAGCAACAATGCAAGGAGGTTTTGGATGCGCTTCTCTCCCTCTAAATGCAAGTTGTTGCTTAGAGACTGGTCTGCGTCAACACCTGAACTAAGGATAGGGAGTGAAGTAATCGAACGCGTTGACAACTTCATTTATCTTGGAAATCTGATCAGCCCTAATGGGTTGGTGTCTGACGAAATCTCAGCACGGATTTGAAAAGCTCGTTTAGCTTTTGCTAACTTACGTCATCTATGACGAAGGCGAGATATCCGTCTATCAATTAAGGGACGAGCATATTGCGTAGCAGTTAGTTCTGTTTCACTTTAAGGCTGCGAAATGTTGCCAATTTGGGTTGAGGATACCAGTAAGTTACTAGTATTTGATCACAGACCAGAAGTTGGTGACTTCAAGCACTGATGCCACGTCGGTCGATTCAGACTGCCTGGTTGGGGTCCGCGTAACTATCGTAACAAATGGTTGGAGACTGGGTGACATGGCTCAGAATCGACCACAATGGTGTCGGTGTATACGCTGTTTGTCTCCCCTTAAACCAAGAGATTAAAATCGCTTCATATGTTTATTTCTACATACTAAATGTTTCTTCCTGTACTATGTTCTTATATGCAATCTTTCTTTTATACATTACCACCACTGAATTAACTACTTCTATGAATCCGGTGTTTATCTTGTTGTGCTAATGCGGTATGGCAACTTGGACCGATGCATATACGTGCCTGATCCTACGTTGCAGCTGACTAACTGATACACCGACACCATTGTGATCGATTCTGAGCCATGTCACCCAGTCTCCAACCATTGGTTGCGATAGTCACGCGGACCCCAACCAAGTAGTCTGCATCTACCAACATGGCTCAGACCAGAAGCTACTGACTTCCCCAACACTAGTCAGCATTGAGAGTCGTGGTAATCGGTGTTCAGACATACGCAGCACGTGGCCCGACCATCTCAGTCGATGAAGATGCACAACCTCATCAACTGATTTACCCTCATTCCCTAATACCCTGTGGTCAAATACTAGTAGCTTACGAATATCTCTTGATGACCATGTTTCGCAGCCGTAAAGTAAGATAGAACGAACCACCGCGCAGTATACTCTTCCCTTAATTGATAGACGAAAATCTCGCCGTCGCCATAAGTTACGTAAGTTGGCAAAAGCCAAACGAGCTTTCTGAATCCGTACAGAGATGTCATCAAGCACCAACCCATTAGGGCTGATCAGAATCCCAAGACAAATGTTGTCAAGGTGTCCAACTACTTCACTCTTTATCATCAGTTAAGGTGTTGACGCACGCCAGTTCTGAAGCAACAACCTGTATTTAGAAGGGGAGAAACGCATTACAATCATACTGGTATTGTTCCGTACTACCAAAAGACTAGTATTTGACCACAGATATCTTAGAAATATTGCTCACATCTGTTGGGATCACCGGGTAAGTAATAGTGAGGTTAGACGCAGGGTATTAGGGAATGAGGGTAAATCAGTTGATGAGGTTGTGCATCTTCATCGACTGAGATGGTCGAGCCACGTGCTGCGTATGTCTGAACACCGATTACCACGACGCTCAATGCTGACTAGTGTTGGGGAAGTCAGTAGCTTCTGGTCTGAGCCATGTTGGTAGATGCAGACTACTTGGTTGGGGTCCGCGTGACTATCGTAACAAATGGTTGGAGACTGGGTGACATGGCTCAGAATCGACCACAATGGTGTCGGTGTATACGCTGTTTGTCTCCCCTTAAACCAAGAGATTAAAATCGCTTCATATGTTTCTTTCTACATACTAAATGTTTCTTCCTGTACTATGTTCTTATATGCAATCTTTCTTTTATATATTACCACCACTAAATTAACTACATCTACGAATCCGGTGTTTATCTTGTTGTGCTAATGAGGTATAGGAACTTGGACTGATGCATATATGTGCCTGGTCCTACGTTGTAGCTGACTGACTGAACGAGTCACTAGACAATGTTGTAAAATAGCGTTGGTCCATTGGTAATTGCGAAAAATAATCATTGAACCAGCAAATGACATACTGGAGGAAATAGTGATTCACTCAATTGTGATAAGTGGTAAGTACATCTAAAGAGCAACCATGTCATTACGATTATGCGACAGAAGGAACGAGTTTAAATGGTGTATGCTAAACACTGATTGATGGCCACTTGGTTTAAAGGGTTTTTTGTACTGTAGGTTGGTCATTTAGTCTTTGGTGGGCTCTGAAGTATTAAGCATGAACAGAAGTTACCTGAACCAGACTGAAAATTCGCGTCATTGAACTAAATATTTGCATGTAGTAGGAAATATCAATTTGAAGGTCTTTATACTTGGTGGTTTATTTTACACGTAAATGCGATCGCGATACGTTTTAGCGACATACAAAACATTCAATCTACGATGAACCATGCTTTTTTTATAACTAAACTCTGCATCTGATAGCTTGTCAGAAATAACATTGACTTTTAACAAGCTTGAAGTACATCACACATATTTGTTTAATGAACAACTGAGTGTCTCATGTAAAAGTTCGCATCCAGCCAGATAGTACTTTTTTTTACTAGGAGAGCATGAATGAATTTTCTCCTACGCACTAACAACACTCTGTATAATAGAGTAAGGAGGGCGAGTTGGCGACCGAGCAATCGCACACAATGTACGTATATTTAATAGGGAGGCCGAGAGACAATAACCACCAATATAATAATCCCCAACCCAAGACAATCTCAAAATTTAGACCAGTGTAATTTGTAACTCAACCAGTTGTTTGGAAACGCCGTTATAGTAAATTCTCCGGTCAGATGCGTAAAAATCCTCAGCTCAATTAACTTCTAACTAACTATTACTGTCCATAATACGAGATAATGATCAAAACAACCAATCAATCAGTGGTTTCAAACCAAAGGTCATTCCTATTTACCGTACCACTGATATTACATTAGAAGTAGGTTGTCTAACAAGATACAACTTACTTGTGTTGGCGGTTCCAATTTCAATAAATCGTGGGTTCAATTTTGGTGTACTGAAATTTGATCATAGATGCCCTCGAAGCATTGGTCGCGTATGTTGGGACAATAGAGCTAGCAATACTCAAGCTAGACGTAGTGTACTAGATAGAGATGACAAACTAGTTGATGAGGTAATGAATCTTCACCAATCGATATGATTGGGACATGTATTACGTATGCCCAACCACCTTCTACCTCGACGCGCGTTGTTTCCTGGTGTAGGGGTAATTTGAAGGAAAGCTAGGGGTAAACAATCCAAGATGTGGTACAAGTTCATGAAGTCATTCACTGTTGGACTGAGTCGTGTTAGTAGGTGGGGAGTTTGAGGTTAGCACAATCATCGTAACCAATGGTTGGAGGTGTCGAGTGACATGGCTCCAAATTGGTTACAATGGCACAGATCCACTATTTTAAAATAGTAGTTTTTACTTCACAAAGCCAGTGTTTCTTACTGCACGTAGTTTGTACGACATCTGATTGTGTGTTACGTTAAATACACGTTATTAAAGTCATATCTTTAAAACCCTTCTCTCTACCTATCCTATGTTCTGATTTTAACTTTCCTGATCTCTCAAGAAATGTAGATTAAGTTCCTGTGTTTGATCTTCGTGAAACCAGAAATACATTTTTATTCGTACAAATTTCGAAAATGCTGTTGCACACTATGTGTTGGTCTTCATATCGTAAGAGGAGTCACACGGAATCTCCCAACATCGTTTATCTCGCTGTTGTAGTATTATTTCTCAAGTATAAGAATAGTAAATTATTCCTTTCTATTTCCGTTATAACAGCGAATTTCCTAATATTGGTTGTAGAGATATACATGTCTATAAATGTTCTTTTTCATTGAAAACTTAAGCCTCATTATTTACAAGTCTTCATTTGTTTCTCTCCAGGGAGGACTTGGATTTCCTTAGTGCCGAGGGTCATGTATATTCGACTGTGGACGATGATCACTTCCGAGCTACTGAAGCATGATTAAATCGAAAATGTCTGTATCACCTTATTTTACACTAAAATCTTTTGATTGTATATAATTTTTGATCTTATTGCTTGTTGTCGCAAAAGCAAGTTACACTGTTCATAATGAAAACAATAGCATTTAAGTCTGAGTATCAGCTGTATAAATTAAAATAATCAAATTCGGTAACGTTATTTTAATTCAGTCTTGTTGATGTTTTAGTGCGTTCCTTCCCAAGTATATAGAGCAATATAAACTGACATGGAATAAGTTTAGTTAAACTTGTCTGGTTCTCTATCAATTAGATTTCAGTAAAAGGTTATTTCTTCCTAACTTAAGCGCGAAAGTTGACTATTCATGCAATAGCATGTGTAGATAGATATTTTATGAATCGTTTCAGAACCGATCGTAGCTGCTATCATGATGTGATAGTTAGACTTACCTATCGTGGTGACCCAATCGAAATACATTTGGTGAAAACACATTTCTTTCAAGTCCTACAATGCCAGGGAAGTCAGTTGAATAACGGTAAGATTAAAGCAGCAACTTGAGGTCCAAGGACAAAGTCGTACGGCTGACGATGTATGGGTGTGGTGGCAGTAAGGTGTTTCCCACATAAACCTGGCATCTCGAGAGATGTTGTTTTCTCATAACGGAAGCAAATGGCTAGAAAAGATCGACCCTAACTATATCAAATCTTACCTTATTCCACAGATTTCCGTCTCTGGCTGCAAGGATTTCTGAAGTTCGTAAATAACATCAAAAACTTCCAACGAAATTCTGTATGTGATCTGTCACAAACAGTGTCCACTTGGACCCGGCGGTGACTCCGTCACGCCATTGAGTTGGGCAGGTGTGAAGTTACGATCATCTTCATATATCTAACGACCTCCGGGATCAGCTTGTCCACAATCATGTTCCTCCCTCAGGCTTTTGTTCTTCTATCCCTGTTTATAAATAACTGTGCTTCTTTGATGATGACAGTTGTAGTAGTCCTGCAAGTTTCAGCTCCAATATCTGAAGATGTTTTGACGTTTGTGCTGAAAATTCCGACTCTGATGTTGACTGACAGTTGTTTTGAGTTCCAGATACCCTCCTATTGTAATAATGTAACCCTAGTCAGTCTATTGAAGAGTTCTTCAAAGTGTTTACCCACCTGTTCTTCTGCTGTTGATCCTTAGTGATTGGTTCTCCTTTTTTGTAGCTGACTAGTTGTTCTTGTGGACCATATTCTCCTACTATTCTCCTGATTATATTTTGTTTCTTCCGAAATCCCTTTGCTTGCAGTTTTTCTACAGTATTTGCCAGATCTGCATATTTCCACTTTTCAGCTGTGATGCCCTTCATTCTTTTGTTTGCTTTTGCGTATTTGGCATGTGTTTTTCTCTGCTCTTGTTCGAGCAGTGTTGACTGCCGTCTTCTTGTTTTTCCTTTCTTCAGTCGTGCGCAGAGCGTTTACAGGGATCCGTTCTTTGTGCTGGCTAACGGATTGGTACTCCATAGGTAGCCCCCAAACGCCCTGGTACAGCCGAGAGTGGGGAGAGTCCGCTCACACTGTCGAAATGCTCTCACATGACCACGCGTATATAGCCTCTGCCAGAGAAGCTCTGCTCACTGCCTTCTCGTGGCGGGGGTGTTGTTTACGAAATTAAGAGAACAAAGAGCGAATGTCCGGCGCTTTAATCGGTTCGGTGGACATGAAGAGTCCACTTAGGGGAGTTGGAAAACCCTGATTCCAAACCAATGGTGCACATAGGCTTCAGTATCCTGAGGGAACAAATGACGTATGAACAAATCATTGGTCACCGGCTACCATGGGACAGGATCAAAGAAAGAAAGAACAAGAAGACAGCAATTAGCAACAGTCGAACAAGAGCAGAGAAAGTCCAAGCACAAGCAGAGTACATAGAAGCAAACAAGAAAGTGAAGAAGAGCATTAGAGCTGATAAACAAAAATACGTGGAAGAACTAGCAACGACGGCGGAAAAAGCTGCAAGAGAAGGAAATATGAGACAGCTTTACGATACGACGAAGAAGCTTGCAGGGAAATACAGTAAACCAGAGAGACCAGTCAAAGACAAAGAAGGAAGACCAATCACTGAGATTCAACAACAGCGCAACAGATGGGCAGAGTACTTCGAGGAACTCCTGAACAGACCGGCTCCAATGAATCCACCGGACATCGAAGCAGCACACACAGATCGTCCTATAAATGTCAATCCACCAACGACAGAAGAAATCAGAATGGCTATCAGACAAATCAAGAGCGGGAAAGCAGCAGGACCTGACAATATACCAGCTGAAGCGTTGAAGTCAGACATCGAAGTAACTACAAGCATGCTTCATCTTCTATTCAAGAAGATTTGGGAGGAGGAACAAGTGCCGATGGATTGGAAAGAAGGACACCTCATCAAGATTCCAAAGAAAGGAGATCTGAGCAAGTGTGAAAACTACAGAGGCATTACACTACTGTCAATACCGGGTAAAGTCTTCAACAGAGTGTTACTGAACAGGATGAAAGACTCAGTTGACGCTCAACTTCGAGATCAACAAGCTGGATTCCGTAAGGACCGGTCGTGCACAGACCAGATTGCGACACTACGGATCATCGTCGAACAATCAATTGAGTGGAACTCGTCACTCTACATCAACTTCATTGATTATGACAAGGCATTTGACAGTGTAGATAGGAGGACGTTATGGAAACTTCTTCGACACTACGGAGTTCCTGAGAAGATTGTCAACATTATCCGGAACTCATACGACGGACTACAGTGCAAAGTAGTGCATGGAGGACAGCTGACAGACGCATTCCAAGTAAGGACCGGAGTAAGACAAGGCTGTCTACTCTCTCCCTTCCTGTTTCTTGTGGTGGTCGACTGGATTATGAAGACCTCGACATCTGAGAGAAACTACGGCATACGATGGACAGCTCAGAACCAATTAGACGACTTGGACTTCGCAGATGACCTAGCCCTCCTATCACATACACACGAACAAATGCAGATAAAGACAGCCAGCATAGCAGCAGTCTCTGCATCAGTAGGCCTCAACATACACGAAGGGAAAACCAAGGTCCTCACACAAATCAAATGAGATTTGTGTGGCGCATATGTGTTTGGTGCCTCCTTGTACCAATACCTATGTGTTCGAATAATAAATAATAATAATAAGGTGGCGACATGCGGTATTTTAAGTTGCTGTTTCTATAATCCCTTTCCAGTTGCTCTCTATAGTCGTCCCTTCTAATTGATCTTGTAATGCTTAGAAGCTGATGCCGTGATCTGTGTTGAACTCACTGAGCTTGTTAGCACCTCGAAGGAACTCTGTATTGAACTTTTTTAATTGCGCCTATTCAGTTGTCCAATTTTTATGTAGCCTGAGTAATATCGTGTATTTCAATGGCCGGATGTGGTTTCTTGACGTTTTTGTCATTCTAGAATTCGGATCTCAGTACGAGAGATGACTTCATCCGCATATCTGAAAATTTCGTCATTCTGGTAAAACGATCTGTGATTAACTTGAATCATCGTCTTTTTATTCCTGATTAAGCGGAATTGTAAATCTCACTTTACTTTTTACTTATAGGGGAACTGTTGCAACCATGTCAAATATTTTAAGAGGTCTTGATATATCCACACTTACCCATCAATCGTTGAAAGATATGGGCAATCAACTGTTCAACTCATGTCAGTATAACGAAGCAGTTCAATGCTATACACATGCTATCACCCAACAACCAAATATTTCTTCGTACTATTCAAACAGAGCGTTGTGTTACATTCAAATGCAAGATTATTCAAAAGTTTTATCTGATTGCAGGTTTGTATAAACTTACAATACCTTGTTGAAATCGCCTTTCAATTGTGTAACATTTATTTCAGCGAGTTTTAGTATTATTAGCACTTTGTGGCGACATTAGTCTGCGTGTATATCTAGGCGAATTGGTTAAGAAATAATGATTTGTTTTTATAATCCTTAGAATGACATTGTTAGCGCACTAATAATCATTGAATTATTAGAATATAAGCTTTAAGAGGTGAGATGACAGTCCTAGTTTTTAGTCTAACAATTTCATCTGTTTAAATCGGTAAATTACATGAACGTGATTTATATTGTTTCAATACATTGATAATAGCGAAATTATGGAAGGTTAACTAAAACGTTTACGAAGACTCATGTATTCAATCATTCTAACAATTTTATAATTACAAGGTCAGAAAGCTTCGAGTTAACATTATAAGGCATTCAGTTCAACGAAAAGTATTTATTACTCAATACTATCAGTCTCGACTTATGGTTAGAGTTTTACCGTCGGATTAACTAAGTAAAACGTTATGTTCAATGTTGATTAAACTAATCGTAGTCATGAAATGTGGTACTATATTGTTTTTGTTTCTTTGAATGTAGTCTCTTCCGTATTGAACTAGCCCAATCAACCAATAAAGGGGAAATAAAGGCGAAAAAAGGAGAAATAAAAAGGAAAATGCTTTGGTAAAGAAAGGGGAAATTTAGGGGAAAACGCGCCAAAATGTCGCCTTTTTCGTCTGTCTGGGGTAAATAACGCGGATTTCCCCCTTTTTGT